AAAAGTATTAATCGAAATTCGCGCGAGCTTCTAATTATCTACGCAATCTATAATTAATATCGAAAAAAAATATTATCTCTTATAAGGCCTCTATAGATTATTTATCTAATATTTCGTATCTTCGAATTATCGAATAAACTAATTTCTATTAAATATATTTATTAAATATTAGCTAAATTAAATATGAGAATTATATCTATAAGAGGCGCTTAATTAACTATAAAGCTAATCGATTTTATTATATATTAATATTAAACGATAAAATTTAGATCTATTTAAATATAACTTAAATTAATAATATCTCTTTTAAGCTAACTCTATTTAAGCTTAACCCCGCTAAAGAAAGAGAGATTAATAATTAAAATCTATTTAAGAATAGAAATAAGCGTTATATAGATGCGCTATAAAAGATCATATACGAGCTATCGACTATTTCTTCAATATTAATTTTAGAAGAGAGAGTCTTAAAAAGAATAAGGCGGAAAATATCTATCGAAGTAATAATTATCTTAGCTAAAGCCGCTAGAAGAGAATTTATTACTATTATATAAATCCTCGTTAAGAAGATATTGCTATAGATACCTTCGTAGATATATCTAGAGGGAATAGAGTTAGAATCATCTAAAATTCTAAGCGAAAATACGCTCGCGGGATCTATTTCGATAGCTTTAGTATAAGCTTTAATAAGATTTATAACTAGATCTATAATTAATTAACAGCCTCCCTTAAAATAATCTAAGCGATACGAAGTTTTTAGAACTTATCGCGATCTTTTATTAAATTTACTCGCCCTTTTAGTTAAAGCTAACGCTCTCAAGCTATTTAAATCTTAAATATATCGAGAAATAATAGTAAATAAATATCGAAAAATAAAATAGAAACTTATTATATAGAAAGAAGTTAACTCTCTTATAGCTAATAATACTTAAATCTTAGTAAATCTATTCTTAAATACATATACCTTAAGCGATAAATAAGTCTATAAACTTAAGCGAGATCTTACTAAAGAGATTATACGATATAAAGCTCGATAGATAATTTATAATTTTAAATAGCGCGAAGATATAGACTTTAATAAGACTTTCGTCTTCGTAATTAAGTTTATAAGCTATAAAGCGATCTTTACTTTAATAATAACTCTTAATTAAAAACTAAAGTAAATAAATATTAAAATCGCTTTTCTCTATAATAATATAAAGGAAATCATCTATATAATATAGTCTATAAACTTTAAAACTAGTAGTAAGCATAAGATATATAAGCTAAAGAAGGCGCTATACGATTTAAAGTAATTCTTAAGATCTAATATAATATTCTCTTTATATATTTAAAGAAATTAAGCTTTAAGTCTATTACGACTAATTTCTTAATCTTTACTAACGATATTATAATTATTATAATCTATATAAATAATATCCTCTTAGTTAATCTTAATAAAGTAGAAATTTAAAGTATTAAAGATAAGCTTAATAGTTACTTCGAAATAATTAACTTAGAGCTATATATCTATTATCTAGATATAACTATTATTAGAAATTATATTAATTATATTATTCGACTTAATTAAATAGAATATATTAAAAAGTTTCTTATTAAGTATAATATATAGAAATTTAAAGATATATTTACTTCCATGGGTATCGAAAGGTATTAGGTATTCGAAGAGAACTTTTAGGCCTTCGAAGTCTCTCATATCGAGTATTAATCGATAATAAGATTATTAATATATATAATACTTAATATAAGACTAGATATTATATTCGCGATCTCGATAATATTCTAATATAGCTCGAATTTTAATAAAGTCTATTAAAAAGCGGTTAAGCGGATCTTTCGCTATCTTAGATAAATCGTTAATTATTAACTTATTTTTAGAGGAAATCTAAAATCTCTAAGCGGTTATATCGATATCGATTAAACTAATAATTAAGATATCTATCGCTTTACATCTAGATATATATTTAACATCGATAGCGGGGCTATTAGTTAATTATCGAAGCGATAATCTATTATAGCACTCTCGATCTATAAGACTAAATATATTAGTTAAATATAGACTATTAAGAAAGTAATTTAACTACGCGATCTATTAAATTAGCTTAATTCTAGTTATAAATAAATATAAGCGATAATTATCTTTTATAATAATTAAGGCGCTATAATACTAGCTAAGAATTCTTAGTTTTATATCTATATTAAATATATTAATATTTAGTATTACTATATACGAGAATAAGTTATCGCTAAGAACGTCGCTTTAGATTATATCTTTATCGATTAATAGATAATCGATAGTCTTATTAAGGCCCTTAGTAAGAATAAGTTTAAGAGGTTTCGTTAATTTATTAGACTAAAATATTATCTATAACTATAGCTTAATAATCTTAATATAGAGAAGCTATCTACTCTAGAGAAGTTATTTCATTAATCTTCATATTATAAGTAATCGATTTAAGTCGTCTATTAAGCCGCTATATTAAGTTTAATACTCTGCGAACTTGTTATTTTATATCGAAACGACTATTTCTTCAGCGCTATTATCGCTATCGTTACTAAAACTTTTAGAGCTCTTTTAAAGAATCTATATCTATTCGTTACTAATGTCTTAAATATTATATCTTCAAATTACCGCTATCATAGTTACTATTACTAAGAATTAGTTATTTAAAATAATTCTCGCGAAGATTTTATAGTCGACGATATATAGCTAGAAGAATTTCTTTTAATTATTTTAGTCACCCTTATAAATATCCTCCGGCCTCGAATCGATCGATTTTTAATGTATATTAGATGGTCTAAAAATAAAATTTCCGAAAAACCGCTTTTTAATAAAAAGTGGAATTTGGAATTTAATATAATCGTTTTCAGATTTCGACTTTTCACTTTACCTATTCTATTCTAGACGTCGCGAACTTTAAATCTCGTATTTTTTAATTTCATTCGTATAAGAGAGGTAGAGATATAGAGGGTGTATTTTTTACGCTAGTTACTCGATACTAACTTACCTTAACTACTTAATACTAATTTACACTTACTATTTAACGCTAGTCTTATCTTATCTACTCGATTTTAACGTCGTTAGTATTAAACTTCGTATTTACTAGATTTCGCTTATAAAAAAATATATACGAAGAGAAGTATTAAAATTTGAATTATATAACTCTTAGCGTCTTAGCGATTATATAACTACGTCATATTATACGTCTTAGCGCGCTCGTATTAAGTCGCTTTTTTCTTTTATAGAACTCTATAGTTAATATAACTAAGTATTCTATCTTTATATTTTAATAGATTATAGTCTTACGTTATAAGTAAATTATTACGTTTATTTAGAGAAAAAGCTAGCGTTTTAGAATTATCTAAGCCGACGTCTTTATAAATTAAATTAATTTCGACCACGTCGTAAGCTTAATTAAGACTTATATTTATATTATATATTTATACGTAGAGTTTATTCATATTCTAGCTACGACTATTATTATTACTATTAGACGAATTAGTAAAGCTACGTAAATAAAGATTAAATATTACTATTAATATATTAATATACTTTTTATACTATTTAGAAGATATTATAAAGTATTCTTTAAGATACTTATTATATATAAAGTTAATTTAAGCGACTTTACTCTTATTTAACTATTATCTTAATTAATATATATATTATATTATTACGATAATATATAGCTCGCTATCGCGATATTATAATAAAAATAAATAAAAATAAGATAATAGATATAAAGAAAGACTTAGTACTTATTAATAATAAAATTAATATTATTATTATTATTAAAAAGAATAAAAGTTAGATTAAAAGTAAGACTTTATATTTATTAACGCGATTTTTAATAATTATAAGAATAGAATTACTACGATTATAAAATAATAATAATAATAATAATAATAGCGTATAATAATAGTAATAATAATATATCGTAATAAGATAATAATATATCTATATTCTATTAATTAAGATAATAATATATATAGCTATACTATCGCGATTTAATATATAAATATATTAATATACTTAAAAAGATTTTAAGATAAATAATTTAAATACGCTATTATAATATATTAATTTAAACTATATTTAAATTAGTAATAAATAGCGTATATAAGATTAATAAATTTATAAGTATTTAACTATAAGATATAATAATAATAAAACTTAAAGATTAAATCTCTTAAGAGAGAAAGTAGTTTTAAAAATAGAAGTACTTAAAGCGATTTAATAGACTTATTTATATTACTTATTAAGTTATAAATTATATAGCTAAAACGAGTATTTAATATACTTAATAAAGTCTTAAATACTCGCGAGTTCTCTTTTTTCTTCTTCTTTTTTTAATTATTAATTTATCTAGTAATTAATCTATTTATTCTTATAATTATACTTTTAAATCTTATAATTATATAACTACTACGTAGTTCTATTAAAAAAAGACTTTATCTTATAATCTTATTCTATTATATATATTAATATATTAAATAAGATAATTAGATATTAAATAACTATATAAATAGAAAATATTAAATAATAATAAATATCTCTATTAAGATATATTAAACTTTAATAGATAATAGAATTAAATAATATATTAGAAAAGATATAGAATACGCTCGTAATATAATTAGAAGTAAATTAAATATTATATAAAAATTAAATAAGATTTAATTTAACTTAGAATTAAGACTTTTATCTTCTTTATTAATTTTATAATTATAAAAATATATTAAAAATATATAAAAAGAAATTAGAGTTTAATTTAACTTAAAGCTAAAGTTAAAATTTAATTTAATTTAAGATAATCTAACTTTATAAATTTAATTTATAAATCTTTACTTATAAATAGATAATTATTTAATATTTATAATAATTATAGAAAAATATATCTTTTAATCTCGATAATAAATATATATTTATAAATAATATATTTATAATTTTAATCGAATTTTAAATACATAGAGTATTAAAAGATTAAAGTATAAATCAACTACTATACCGCGTTAGTCTCCTTTTCAGGCCATACGATCCAAGCGCTCGCTATGAGAAACTTGATGCCACCTGCAATCCAAAGCGGAACCTGCATCCTCTTGGTACTTTCTGAAATAAAGCCCCCAGCAACAGCACCCGCAAGTATTCCCGCAAAGGCCAGAATTCGTCTATTTCTCTTCATGTTCTGCCTCAGCGGCCCCAAGAGAGCAGGGTCCGTCGAGATATCGTGCAACATACTTGTCAAGACAACCGTCGGCACTTCCGCGAACCCTAGCACACGACTCCCGACTATCTGCCCCGCGCTCTGAAAAGACAGAAGCGCTATCGGCAAGAGTTCTCTCCAGTTGATGTCGGCGGTGATTGTGTGCAAGCTTCCGTTCACAACACCCCCTTGTATTATCGCAGCGGCCACGACGATGATCAGGGATTGAAGGACGAAAGAGGCGGTAAGGGTCGAGCGGCGGAGTGGCGTGAGCAGACGGGAAGCGAGACTGAAGACGAAGCAGCCGAGACAGAAGGACGTGATGGAGAGGAAGGATTTGACCCAGCCGTAGGGTTTAGAGGTTGAGTGGGGCGTGGCACCACCGAGGCCGAGGAAGATTGTATTGCCCTAAACCATCTTGTAAGGAGCCTTGGTCGGAATCAAAAAGGATGAGAAGAGGAGGGGTTGGATTGAAGTGCAAGAAGAGAAAGGTGGGTACCGTTTGCATTGACACGAAGGTGCCATATGCATTGTAGACTGTGCTATCGACGAGGCCTGAGATGATACAGCAGGTCAACAGGAGAATATCTGCATGAGAGGTGGCTAGCTCGGCGCAGAGGTGGCTTTTCAGTCTGTTGATGGATATGGTTTCGGGTTTCGGAGACTGTGGTGTTTTGGCCGACTCATCGGACGATCCGAGCGCCATCTCGCTATGGTCTTAGCAAACTATAGACAACTTTGAAACTTCTGAAGAAGACCGAGGGAAAAGCAATACAACAGATGATATAGTGCAGCGGGGGAAGGGAGTGGGGATTGTTCTGGCTCGACATCTTGTAAGCTGAGGAATGGCAAGATAGTGAGGGATTTTGCATGGATTACGACTGCATATCGCTTATTGCAAGCCCGAGGGTAGGGTGGAGTAGGGTTACACTCGCTACGTAACTCAACATCAAAGTTGGAGGGTTGCTGTGCAGTTGAAAGCGAAGCAAAAACGAGTTATGAGAATACAACATACATGATGAAGAGCGGCGGAGCTTTAGGATGGAGATTTCCGTTACTCCGGAGCGCCTTTGTAGTCTTGGCAATCTTGGCAGTCTTGGCAGTCTTGGTAATCTTGGCAAATTTGGCATTCTTCGACGATCTTAGCCCCCCCTCCCCTGGGTTAATGCCTTATCTTGACTTGATCATGTTGACCACAAAGACGTTGCAGCACCATGTGCTTGCTTTTGCTTATCGCGGCTTCACTGAATCCACTAGCGTTTGGATATCCTCCGCAATGCCAATCCGTCAACCAACCGACTTGAGAAGTTGATGATCACATTGAACACACACACACAGCTGCGCAACCAATGAGACATACATGAAAGACTTTGTCTTTGCATGTACTAGTACCATACCAGAACTCCTGTTTTGAAGAATTCTTCGGCAAGTCCTAAATATTTTCCTTGGCGTTTTGACGCCCGTTGTTCATCAATGCACGACGCCCACACCTCCGCCGCCCAGGTTGATGTGTTTTGCAGCTCGCTTGGCTCGCGCACCACGGATAAGCCGGCCCGAGTACAGGTGTGTCATATATAACAAATACAATATGCAGCCAAGCTATTCCGCGCCGACAGGACGCAACGGGATGTGCCGCCCTTGGTCTCGGACAAAAGGCGGCTGAGCTTCCGCAATCGAATCGATCTACCTCGATATCAGCTTTCCAATCTTTCCATACTGTGTATGGACCAGAGACGTACTCACAGCACTCTCACCGTCGTGGTCAATTGTTTCTGAGCTCTCAGGCTGCTTGAAAAATAGTCCATGTCCAGAACAAGTAGGTAAACGAGAGCATTTCCCAGCGAATCGGCACTCCCAGGCTTCTGTCGGAAGAGTGTGGGAAAGCGGTCGTACGCTTTCAAGCATACAACTAGTATAAGTTACTGCGTAGTGACGAACTGCTAGTGATCATCTTTTGGTCTAGTCGTAACGATTAGCAAAACCCGTCCCGCTTCTGGAGGTGGGGCCGACTGTAAGCTCTTGGCAAGGCGGCTGTGCTCTTGACTCGATGGTGATACTGGCATGCAGTTCGAGGGATTTAATGTCCGCTCCATGCGCCTCGGCAGTCCGCAGTAACGACGCATGTAGACGCATGAATTGGCCTAATAGTGCCGAGACCGTTATGTTTAGAGCACTTCGTAGCGGGACCCACGGAGATGATGCAGAGCTCGATCGCAGCTTTCTTGTCCGTAATTGTGGTGGTGGCTCCGAAAACTTATCACACACCGAGTTCGGCTTTCTGCAGTTTGAAAAGCATGCGAAAACACCGCAACATGCTCGCTGCCATGTGAATAGCAGAAGCTACAAGTTGACTTGGCTATCGAAGACTCTGGCTCATCTGATGTGATTGCAGTATCGCTAGCCCCTCGACAATTATGGCAATGACGCACCGAAGACTGCGAAAGATTGTGGAATACCGTACACCACTCTCTGGGCCAGCTTTTTCTTAGTGGTTGCGAGTTACAAACGCCAAAAAAGCCGACATTTCTTCTTGAATTACCTCAGTACATCTTCGCCACCGTACATCGTAGTCGGCTTTGACAATCCGTCCGAAACATCCGGACTCTCTGCTCGCAAAAGCCCTGACCAGTTGTTCCATTGGCTTTCACGTTGACCCTGGCTCCATCGCATGCTTGGAGATACAACTCTTTGGCCCCACGTCTGCCCAATCGCTGATAAGCGTGTTGTGTGAATATGCAAATGGCTTTGTCAGGCCAAGAATCCCGTCATAATCTGGCATGTGTCTGTGCTCCGGATCTCATGATTGCCACGATCAGTTCAAAATCAACGACCGGAAAGCTCATTGGTATTATTCTTCCGTCAGGTTGAACCGAAGACGATCATCAAGAAAAGCAATGCACACCTCGAGGACCTCCTGTCATGTCCGACTTGGCAATACGCCTTTCAACGTCAGCGTGCATTCATCTGTTGCTTGGCGAGTGTCGTCAAGAGTGTTGAGGAGGTACCAGAAGACTGGAAATTGACGCTACTTCATCTAGGATTGGTTGACATCGAGTACATATAATGCGGAGCCAATCCAGATGTTTTCCTCTTTCCACGCCAGGCACTAGTTTTATTCTCCTTCACGCAAAGCATAACAATCCCTCACGTCAAGATGTCTACAACCAGCTCAATGTTCCTCACCTTGACTCCAGCGATGCCTCACGTTGAGAACAGCAACCACGTGCCGGGACCAATTGACCACGTTACCTTGAACCTAGCCGTGGAGTCTCTTACCTATCATATCGTGTCTGGAGACACGCTCGTGCCTATAGCCAAAAGTCTCAGGGAAGCATCTGTTGGGGACGAGTCTTCTGTCAGCCAAAGCAAGGGCTCTTTTACCGAACAGATTAAGGCATACCCGCCTCCCATGAGTGACACGTCCACGGACAGCGAGTCCGTACTCTCTGTGGAGAACCACCTTGACAACCCGATTCTACCTGCTGTTCATAGCGACAACCGTGATATAGCGGCCACGATCCTCCCCAGCGAGTTCCTATCACCTGCCACAATTCTTAAGCGTCGCCTTGAAACCACCAAGGATCTGATCGTCTGTCCAGGGGTCTACGATGGGTTCTCTGCTCGGATTGCTCTTTCTGTTGGTTTCGACGCGTTGTATATGGTAAGCAACATCCGTTCGCGACTTCTTGCACAGACTTGCTTATATCATCCAGACAGGTGCAGGCACCACAGCCTCTCGCCTCGGCCAACCCGACCTCGGCCTTGCACAGCTCAGCGACATGCGTGCGCATGCCGACATGATTGCCAACCTTGATCCTTATGGTACACCATTAATCGCAGACATGGATACTGGCTATGGCGGTACGTCTCAACATGCATCATCGCCTCCTTCCGTGCTAACAAGACCCAGGGCCCAATACGATCACGCTGGCAGTCCAGCAATACATCCGGGCCAACGTCGCCGGCTTCCATATTGAGGACCAAGTTCTTACCAAACGATGCGGTCATCTTTCCGGCAAGAAAGTCGTCAGCGCAGACGTATACCTTTCTCGCATCCGCGCCGCCAAAGGTGCCATCGAGAAAGCACGCTCGGATATCGTGCTTATCGCTCGTACGGATGCATTGCAACAGCTCGGATACGACGAGTGTGTTGCTCGTTTACACGCGGCTCGTGCCCTGGGCGCTGATGTGGGATTGCTGGAAGGCTTCAGGAGTAAAGAGCAGGCGGCGCAAGCTGTCAAAGAGTTTGCACCGTGGCCTTTGCTTCTCAACATCGTCGAAAACGGTCACAGTCCGTTGATAACCGTTGATGAAGCACGCGAAATGGGGTTTCGCATAATCATCTTCTCGTTTGCGGGTTTGGCACCTGCTTATGGGGCGATCAAGGGGGCTTACGAGAAACTAAAAACAGAGGGCGTGACAGGTATTCAGGGAAGTGGTGTCACTCCGAGGGGAATCTTTGATGTGTGTGGGCTGCGGGATTGTATGCGGATTGATGAGGAGGCCGGAGGGGAAGACTTTAAAGACGGTGTTTAGGAAATTGCTCATGAGAGGGAATACACGGGCGGTTGGATCTGTGCACCAGCTTGACATGATTACTTTTGCATCAGTATCTATATTATGTTATGTTTTAGCAGTCTTCTTAATTGGTAAATGTTTGCGCAAGATAGTTCATCCGTCTAGTCTCAGGATATCAGACTCTTTTAACGGGACGCCCATGGTACGTTCGATTCCTCGCTTCGAGAGCAAATCATATCGCAAGTTCGTTACAGCCTTAAGTTGACAGGGATCATCTGCGATCGCTGAATGTCCAATCCAAAAGGTCAAAGTTCGCAGCTGAATGCAACCAGGAAACGCCACAGCCTTTCTCAATTAGAATTCATTCAGCGATACGAAATGACTACTCTTTCTCTTAGTTGTTGAAGAAATGCCATTAAGCTGCTCATGTCTTTGTGTAAATCAATCACCAAAGCTCGCTTACTCGAAATCTGCTGCGATTCTCTTCTGTCTCACGTTGTATGGCCTCGCTGGTCTCAGATCAACATTTTGAAGTCACCCCCTGACTTCGCCGATACTGGGAAAATTCGATCTTGCGCCTCTGCTTAACCTAGAGGCAAGAGCTCACGCTAGGAGCGGGCAGGCTCCAAGAGTCGTGGTTGTTGAATTTGGTCTTTCTAGATATCGTGCCTCTCATTGTCCATGGAAATGTTGACGTCGCTCCGAACATAGATAGCATTGATGGGTATCTCACAATTAGTCGAGTTCTGCGAGTAGATAGATACTCGCTCAATGTCACTTTCCCGGGAGGAGAGGCCTCTTTTTTTTAGATATCATCATGGGTTGGGGAGACTAAAAGGAAGTGTGAAGACCACTACCGCAAAAATGGTGACTCTCGCTCTGTCTCTTAGGACCTGTTTGTTCTGACTTGACGAAGAGCTGGCGAAAAGAGGCAAGGCAAGCGATAACAATAGCCGCGATGGGGCAGCACAGAGTTAGCGAGTTATACCAGGAGGTGGAAGTCAAACTTACCGACAGCCATGAGGGAGCTAGCGAGAAGCATGATCTACGCTGCAAGTACGAAGAACTCGTCGGCGTATACTCTTTTGAAATGTCTGAGACGGACAGATACGCGGAGGATCAAGAAGCACAGGGAAAGCGCTGTTCCTCCCTACATGATACCCTATCGGTGGAGAGATGTCAAACCTCGTACAAAAGGTTATGGTGAATGAGATAGTGGTACGTATGACAAAGGCTTGAGGATTTATCTTTGCAACTGTGAGAGTAGTGAGAACCATGACTTGTACAAAGTGTTGTGTGATATGCTGGTGATTTGTACGAATTTTTGAGACACAACAGTAGAAAGCAGAAGCAGACTTTGAGATTACTGTGCTGGATGGACAGAAGAACTTGAGATGGATTAGGCATGATATATCCATATCAATCGCTCTTGATCATCAGCCTGAACTCTGCCATAGCCTTGTATGCATGATGAAAGCACCGTACATCCCCTGACTATCGTCGCTCCATATACCACAATCTACAACTTCAGTTTATGGTGTAGGCCGATTAGCTCAACTCAGTCGGGCTTGTTGACAACTGGTGTTCATGCAGTTACTCATGCCCGTGCTTGATTACCCGAGAATTTGAGCGACTAGCTCCTCCGCTCTGGTAACCCCCCTCCTGTAGTGTTCCAATCGAACGAAGCGTTCACCTAAATTACGCAGAATGAACACCATGTGAAGGATTTTCAAGAGCCAGGTCAGAGCGGATCCGTTTACCCCAATTGGAAGCGGGGAATTCTACCGGCATCAGACCCGGTACGTTTCGAGCTTGGTACCGCGCACTCAAATGCTTCTCATGAAAGCTTCGTATGTTACACTTACCCCCCTTTTGTGATTCTCAACGTCCCGTAGTCAGTCTTTGACATGTTTGGAAGAATGGCGTGTACCTCGTCATCCTAAATTCTGCTAACAGTATGCTAAACCATGCTTCGACGATTGATCTGCTGCTGGAGTACTTTGGCGCCTGCGCGGCGCAAGTTGTGGGTGAGATCGTCAAGCTGCAGGATGTGCCGCTCTTCCACAAAAGGCTCCCTCGAGGACTCTTCAGCCTTTCAAAATTGTTTTACTAAATCTGCGTGATGGAGCCATGAGTTCGCTACCGATCGGGCAGGGAACCCTAATGGAGATTTGTTTTTGGAAAAGAAACGATGAACACGAGCTTTCTTGAGCTCTGGGAAATCCAGATGCTTCTCGATCCATTTGCCGACCTGTCCAACCCGACATTGATCAGATGTCAATTGATGAACATCCAGTATGCTATGCAGCCTACGATGTGATGGAGTATTAGGCAGTACCGTGCATACTCACCGCGCCCGCCCCACCCCCCCTCCTCCATCACTCTGTACAAGGCAGTGACGGGTGAAAAGAATGACTGCATTACCCTTCAGAAACAACTCCCCTGTGAAGCATCCGCAAAGAAGCAGCACGCGTTGTAGTCTCACAGACCTCTTCTTAGTTCTAGTCTCAGGATATTGAGTATCCCCGCGCAGTTTCAGGCATTCCCTCACCAATGCATTCCGTCAGCTCGATTGAAAGACACCTGCAACTCTTTCGAAACCGGGAACATCTGTTGGACTTTGTCGACTAGTGTGTCAGAGAGCTCCTTCAAACCTCTTATGCTCCATACTGTTGACGAAGTGCAGCCTTACGGAGCCTGCATGCGTCATGCCCTTATACGCAGTTCCTATGCCTAGGTTTGCCTGCACATTAGTCCGGAGCGGATGCAATGCAGCGTAGAGGCACCTCGAGAAAGACAGACCCGGGTAAAGATGGCAGTGTGGAGTCAAACTTCGCAATGCAAGGACGACCCCGCAAACACGTTTGGACCCCATAGATCCGCCTATCGGGCACCAGTCAGATAATGTGATCTAATGACTGCAGGTACGGTACGTTACATTTCACTCTTATCAGTGGTGAGATATTTGATTTCAGAGGTTCGGCTGCCATGTGCGATCTCCGGAAGAATCTTCGGCCGCTCCGTCTTGGCAAGCACGGTCCGGCCCTCTCCGAGGACGTCGAGTGGTACTGCACTTTGCAGTCAATCTTCTTGTCTTCCAGGACATGTTCTGCACCGATGAAGAGTCGCCGAAAACAAGACCGGCATCCGTGGTGTTGTATCGAATGCGTACCGCCGGAATGACCGGTATCCATGAGACTGCGCGCGGCATGGTGGATCTTCGAGTCTCAAATTGAAGGCCTGGAGAGCAAGCAAGGCAGGCCTCAGCTAGGTTCAGGTATGTTCACTAACCAAACATACTGGTGCTAGAAATTTCGAGGGTGCCCTTCTGCTAGAGGGAGCATAGCTAAGAAGCTACAACATTCTGTAAATAGCGTCAAAGCTGGGCTAACGATATCCTCGCAGATCACGGATGACCATCAAAGCCTCCCTCCCTCAAATTCCTCCTGCCTCCACCCATGTTAAGCTTCTAAAGTCCGTCGAGCCTCCTTTGTACGATGCCAAACCTCACATAGAGCTTGGGGAAGGACCGGAGAATTCGAAGGAGCAAGCCGAAGAAGGGAGAGAGGGCAAGGCTGCTAGACGGTAGTCCTGGACATGTCGCCGAAGATTTGTTCAGTGCTGCTGAAGTCGAAGAGAGTGCGGCGGAGGTCGCAGTCAACCACAAAATCGCGCCCCTCAACGCGCCTTGCGGAGACCAGAAATGGCAAATGTCAAACCCCATGGCGCTTACAGGCAGGGTTCTCTGCGTGGCTACTCCTGAAGACCTACCAGCAACCTGGCATTTGCGAAATACCGTCGGGCACTGGGCATCGAACAGGCGAAACAGGCCTTCGATGAGAGAGTGACTGCGGTCGCGAATCGAGTCATAGCCGTGGAGGTTATTTGAGGGCAGTCAGACCACCAAGGAAGCTACTGCCAAGCAGCTAAGGCTGGTGAGAGTATCCGGCAACCGTCAATGACGTTAATACACGAGGACAGCACTCGCTTGAAAGCCCTGAGGGGGCCGTAACTGCTCCGCGAGACATAAATGACTGTTATTGATGTTACGCCCTGTTCGTCATCGAATCTGGCAAAGTTGATGGTAGGGCGAAACCAGGGTATGCTAGAATCCCCAAAGGCATGTAGAGACAGTGTAAACGGACAGACGTCTTACGACGAGGTCTCTGGCCTGGCCAAGAAGCCATCGAAGCAGGGAGCGGTCGGGAACTGCGCAATTAATTACTTTGACTTTCGTGCTGAGTCCTCTTTAATCCTTACTCTGGGTTTCGATGGTTCTGCAGCATGTCCTTATAACAGACATTGCAGCTTGAATTGGTCTTCCTCAACGTCTTCTCACGAAGATTACTGCGACCAGTGGCTCTCTGAAGTTATATAGTCGTTTTATGCGCGCGCTACTCTCGATGATTGATGCATCTCTCGAAAAGCTCTCGTCGAGAGACTTACCTCGCGTCTCCGCTTTACACTATGGACGCCACACAAAATATATATCGGTCTCATATCTAAGCATTATGCGTTCCCTGACTAGTTCAACCGCCTAGTGAGATGAGTTATTTTCGTGACACAGACTTTGTCCAATATCTTTTAATATGCCGCACACTCCGAGCAGGCGCAAGCGCACGTGAAATCTTACGCAATTCGTAGCATCCCAAAGCAGCGTTCTAGTTTTGGCCGCACTGAGGGAGACCAGTCGCGTCATCGATGTGTCTTTGAAATAGCCGCATTGATAGTCTCGCTACGTACACGCGTATGTCAAAGTCTCTGCACTAAAAGCCAGAGTATCTCAGGAGACCCAGGCGCTTCAGCCGGACATGACTCCACGCGTAAAGCTGTCAGCGCCTTAAAGCTGCGCTGGAAGATAGACCACCGCACTCCCTGTCCAGATCTGCATTCTCTCTTCAGATGCCTGTTTCGATTTTGCCCTTAGTGTTCGACCATTTGGCTCTATGGTGTCTGTTCCTATCAATTGTTATATCGCTAAGTTTGAACGCTGCACAAGACGGGATCGACCTATTACGCCGGTGAAGCCATCGTGGGTGTCTTTCATCTCAAACACTCCGATCTCGATACTCAATCCCACGAGCATCAGCAACAGGAGAGTAGGCCAGGCTCGTCCCCTCGGTACCACGCAGCAGAAATAGTTTAGGGCGTCTCTTTTTACAACGCGTATGCTTACCAGCGCTTTCAGTGGCGAATCAAAAGCTGCAAATGCAGGTCTCAAAACTGCACCAGCGGCTATCATCTCCCATAGCACGCTCTCGACCGCACGAATCATAGAGTCTGAAATTTTCGATCGGATTATTCTCCTCGCGTGGCCGAAGAAATTAGGTGCATTATGCACTAAGCACTCTAGCAAGCGCTCTTCAGACGTCCCAAGCCGGTGCAAGCCACTGTTCCAACACAACATTTTGCTCCGGAGAGTTCTTTCTCAGAGCAATTACATGCCATGTATCCTAGCTACAAATCTGCCCCAGCTAACAGAGCAAAATCAGTACTGCAGTATATAAGCTTTGCGTGGACTTGTCGAAAGCATTGTTCCCATCGCCTTAGTTGCATCGATACTCAACCCTTTGATGCTACGCTCATACTGGTGAGATATCTTGGTGAGGACCGAAACATGTGTTTACCACAGTGTTAAGCTGTAAAGCGTCGTTGCGGACGAAAAGCATTTCCAACGTTGGCAGAAACCTCTTCAAATTCTGCACACCGCTTTCCTGAAATTTGAGGTTGCTGGAAGATCGTCTTTGGACCTCGTCGCTGCGTCATCCTAGGGTGCCGAAGAATTTGTGAATATATCTCGGGTTCAAGATGCCGACTGTTACGGGTAGAAAGTGACTGCTAAACTCTCTCAGGCGCCGCCAGGCCTTAATTAATTTGTTCTGAGCGCTGTGAGTACTGATGCAGAAACAGTGCATCTTAGACCGGCAGAAGATAAGCTGATAGTCCAAACCGCACGTCTAATTACTTCAAGACCACAAGAGAGTCCGTAGACGCAATTGGCATATTGTTAAGGAAGCGGTGCATATTGAGGAAGTCATGCAGCAGATGTAGAGTCTCTTTGTTCGGAAGAAATATTCAACCAGGGCACATTATATCTCATGAAGCGCTGGATTGCCAGAATAAGGCTGGCTACCCGTCGGCTGAGTTTCGTCCTGCTCTCACTAGGAAAGTTGGCAGAAGCTGGTCTCGTTGCGGTGTTGAGACCGGTAGAGAAAGCCGAGATAGAAAGTCGGCTTGCGATTTGATATTGGAGCAACGCAACGGATGAAACCAAATTGAACGTCAACTTTCGTCTGCGTGGAAAACCCTCGCGTAGTACAAAATAGAGACTGCTCCACAAAATCAGGCCAGTTCAACTTAAGAGTACATGGACATCTCTCAACAATGCTGCACTCTTCAATTAGGATTCAAAGTTACTTTGACCCCCTCTCCGCCTTGACATCCATTCACCATGCCGAGCCTTACTCTCCATCAATCCCTCTCAAAACAGCGCCTCCTGGCCCAAACTTGGCAGACCGTCTCACTTTGCTGGCAGTGGGATCTCCTGAGGAAGCGCCTGTGTCCGAGATGCATTGCTGATCGCAAAAAGGATTCTCCACATAGTTGAAAGTCAAGATGCCGTCCGACGGGTCGTTGCTGCCTTGATCTACGAAATGAATCGGCACGCTGCCGCAGGTGCTGCAGCCGTGTTCTAGAATGGCGTCGGTGAGAGGTCTGATCTGTTCCAGGCTGAGGGATGCGCCTTGGGGGAAGAGGCCTGATGCGTTTCTCGAGTCAGCAAGCAATTTTACCTGGAAAGGGTCGTTGGGCTGAAAGATATGTTTCGTGGAGATGTGCAGAGCAGAAGTTAGGTTATGGCGCGCGGCATCTGGGTAGTACTTACATATGCCGCCAGCGCCAACGCTGAGGTCGCCACTAAGACTGAATGATCCGGTAACACCATCATAGTCACCACCAGCGGACGCAGAAATTGTGACCGTGTCTGTCTGACTGATACAAATTACTATGCAGGTTCCAGTGTCAGCGTTTCTCTCGCGAAACAGGGGTTTGTGCTAGAGAAAGTGCTATAGAGGAATACGAACTGTGTGAGCCGTCGCCGTATGTGGTTGAGTTGCTCTCCGATGCAGCCCAGACAGCGTCACGCAGGATCTGCACAATCTTGCCAGATGAGCTACTCATAGTAGCGCGATCGCAAAGAGCAGAGCCGCGACAGTTGATCCCCAGGGCATAGCTACTGCCGAGGAGGGTAGAGAGGGAGGTGATACCCAGCATCAGAAGTGAGGAGGTACGCATGATGGTACTTGTGATGAATGAATGCTATGTGGGGTGGAATTTCAAATTCGGTAAGAGTGGAGTGATCAGTTGTAGATAGTGATTCTCTCTCTGGGTGCAGTTGATCGTCGGACTTTGTTTGTTGTGCAGATACTCTCGAGGAAGACAAGTCTGCCTTTATAGATATCCGCTCCAATGAAGGCCCCACTATTATTAGGATGACGGATGCTCATCTAACATCTTGATCATCTGAAAGAACAAGGCGAGGTCATTCATGAGACCGCCAGGCCCCAAATTGCTAAAATAGACTGAGGCAGAGCCACCCATTGTGTCAATATACGAAATTGCTGTAAGAGATGTTGCGGCGAAGGAAGACAGTATAATGGTGGGTTGCACGTCTGTTCGTATCACTAAGCCAGCCTTTGGTAGGTTTCTCTAACGGCGAAGGGCGCAGATATGTAGATCGTGTCCATTGTATGTGTTCAATCCCCGAAAGGCCTCGATGGCCCTCAATTTCGACGTTAAGATCGAAGTGAAGATGATGTTTCATATAGCCAACTCCTTTTGTGGACTATTGACTTGAGGCGGAGGCGCGAGGAAATGCAGGATATGGATAATGGCGGAGGCATAACGGCGGACCCCAACGATGATACGGGACGACGTTACGCGAGGCACGAGAGCTGTAGACGGATATCAGCTTGAGATGAGGTGCGTCGTCAAAGGATGTATGACGGCATTGATAATCATATAAGACTCAGGTATCTCAGCATTGCCTCAAGGCCGAATGTAACCTGTGGAAGCAACGCGGTAGCTTAGCTTGAGGTTAATGCAAGTGCAGGGCTCAGCAACGACATGGTCACCAAATCAGTGACACGTCGTGAGAAGCTTCCAATCCAAGGCCAAAAGAGAGACTGGGGTTGCAGGCCAGGTTCTTTCGAGTGGAGCAGTTGATTTACAGCAGGGTGACAATTTCGAATGGCCAAAGACTCGAACAAATGAAGACAAGATCGCAGGTGGACTCACAGCGCTTCGAGGTCTCTACATCAGTAGACCAGAGTAGGTGAGATGTGACTAAGGTACCTGCAGTAGTCTGTGTAAGGGCCAGAACGTGAAACACAAGCTGGAGATGCAGGGTCATTTCCTACCAGGCTAAGTTGCATGCTGAGAGCATGAAGATGGATGTGCGACAACGCCGCTGTCCGAATAGGGTGTTCGATGTGGCTTGACAAACGAAAATAAGGTGTGGATGTTTTACTGTCTCGCTTCGAGTTGACCAATCGGGGCAAAAAGCGCCCCCAAAGCTGAAGTGCACCGAGCCGCTCTCGCCACTCAAACATCCTCCATCATCTCAGATCTACCATCGGTGCCGGGGCCAAATAGCTGATCTTCTCGAGACGAGGTGGCAGCAGGCTGGGAATGCGGCACAGTAGTGATGCAAAAATGGAGATGATGACCATGGCGTGATCATTGTTGATGGCATAGCTACGGGGTGGTACCCTCCTCGCACTCCTGACAGGTTGTCATCTGTTGAAGTTTCCGGAGCTTGGCCGTACGCGGCAAATGATACTCTCGTTTGTATGCTTCGAAATGTGAGCATTAATGCAAAAGCCTCGAGGCACTGCCCAGCATTATCCTCGACTCCTCTCACGGGGCAAAGTCTGTTCAGGAAGCCCAGGCTGACATGGGTTTGTCGTGGGTTCTGTTTGAGTCGCGATGATCAATGACCTTTGTTTGGCTGCCTGCCTGCCACCACCTGCTTTGAGTGATAAATAAGTTCACAACCTTGGGAGTGTCCATTGCTGCTCATGCTTCTGGGTCGTGGCAAATTGACCACTCTGAGAACTGCATCAACGTTAAGGTCAAAAAGTCTGCTCAAAGACTATGGCATTGTATTGGCGAGAAGTGCGAAGCCCCTGATCATAGACGCAATAGGCGAGAACTCGAGGGCGCAGCACACGTGCCATTACTCTGTAGGTACGGAGCACCTTCATCTTTAGCAGGCGTGATCAGACCGAGAAACCTATAGCGTCGGTAGTAATCATCGAGCTGGGCAAGTTTGAACACAAGTGTGGTGTGCGCGATCATTTGATGTCCAGCTGTGGATGTCGGCCAAAAGTTCTGGCCGGGTTGGGCAGTAAATAGGCAAGGTTGCTTAGGGCATGACCATGGCAATACCCTTATTTGCGCTAAGTATTGAATTGGTGGCATCCTTTGAGAGTCTGGACAAGAAAAAGAATAAAAGAAAGAGATATGACAAAGATTGGGGTCAGGTCAAAAAGGGGAATACATCCCGACCCCGGGGCCAGCTCAGTTTTGCCCCAGGTTCCCCGGGTGCCCTATCCGGGCCTCCCCCTACCCCCACAGACACCATCGGACACGCTATCCACTAACGGCCAAGGGCCGACTAGGTACTCGTACCTTACTTTATGGACTGTCGCGTGCCAAGACTCTAGGCTGGCTTGGCCACCGGGTTCTTCCCTACCACCTTAGCGAGCTTAGGTACCTTACCTTAAAATTTGATGATTTCCCCTTGAGCGTACATGTACAGGATATTTTATTGGAGAGATAAGGCAAAGATATCTAAGTTTACCTCCTGCCTCATCTTTCACCAAATAGAAAAAAAGCTCCGGAATTCCTTCAACACCAACACCAACGCCAACGCCCAACAGCGGATCTGTACAAGAGCAGCTTCCCTTTCTGCTACTCTCCCCCGCTTTCTTCTTTTTCTCGCCGCTCGGGGCGGTCCGGTCGTCTCCTGATAGCACAGAGCGCCTATCTGTTGATTTCCTGTAGAACTCCTTCTGTCCAACCTGCATTCATCCTGCATTCATCCTGCATCCCAAATGTACCCTCCCACATTATCGTGAAGACTGACCCTCCTGCTTAATTTAGACAGTGTCGCATGCATATGCTGCAAGGAAGCCTGCTCTTAAAAGGTAATGATCTGCTTGTACCGCCATCCTTATCTTCGGGATTGGTGGCATTGTGTAAATAAACCCTAAAGCCCGAACTATTCCAATGCCCCTGCAGCTTGCTGGAAAGGCAATTCAGTGGTGGCAACGAATCAATGAGGCTCATGGGACATGACCGACTCTGGCTTGTGTGCCAGGTCACAAGAAACCAAAAAGAACTGGGTGTCGCGATATGGGGACATATGAGCCTTGCCAAGTATCTGTTCTCTGTTGCTGGCTTAACAGTCGTAGGATTCTCTTCTATGCCTTAATCAGTTATTGGTATGCTCGTCTTATCGCGGGTGATTGCATGTTCACTATTGCGCTAAGAATAAGTTGATTAAGGTTTGGTACTGAGGAAGGACATCATTCGTCAAGTTGAAGCAAAAGTAATTCGATACAGAGTGACGTCTTATTTTGTTCGCCAAGCCACCCTATATCTCTTGACACGTCCCCCTTTCACGCATTGAATGCCGTCTTCTGCGTCAGCGGTGCAACCTTTCGAGTGGTCTACCCCACCTCTTACTCCAAACGCTCTGCTCGCAAAGGCCTTTTGGCGAAATAACTCCGCTTCGAATCTGGAAGCCGCGGTTCTATAAAGATGGTACCATGTCCGGAAGATCTCCTGCCCTTTTCGTCTCGTGCCCGGCACTCCTTGGCCGAAGAAGGGTCAAACGCAGATCCGTGTGGCAGCATGGGATACGTCAACACCTAACATGTACGCCATGTGCAACCAGCTCGGACACGTCTGGACTGGGGTGGCGGACTACATGACCAGCTGGTATATAAGAGATGCAGACCCCGCGGATACAACCTCAAATACATTGAGAATCTCCACACGCATCTCAAAATGCTTCTGCCAATCCTTGCCACCGCGGCTGCTGCTGCATTTGCGGCAGTAGCCACCGCTCTCCCAACATCCCCCAGCCATGTGGTACATGAGAAGCGCAGCGGATCTTCCAGTTGGTCACCAATGCAAGACGCTAAGCCCGATGGACGCATCACACTTCCTGTCCGCATTGGTCTCACCGAAAGCAATCTGCACCGGGGTGATGAGATTTTGATGGAGGTGTCCGACCCAGCCAGTAAGAAATATGGGAAGCACTTGACTGCGGAAGAGGTAATGAGGTACCCTAGCCTAGCACGTATTGCCGAACTAATCTTGGAGTAGATCATAGAACTGTTTGCGCCTGCGCCAGAGTCCATCGATGCCGTGCGCAATTGGCTTGTATTGTCTGGCATCGAGTCGTCTCGTATCTCTTTGTCTCGGGGAAGAAATTGGCTCAATGTCAACGCCAGCATCACCGAAGTAGAAGCTCTACTGAAGACCGAGTACAAGGTGTACGAACACTCTACCGGACAGAATCACATTGCTTGCGAGGAATACAGCGTTCCGCAAGATCTTTCGGAGCATATTGATCTTATCATGCCAACCGTCCACTTCGACACAAAGATTGTTGGGGATCCAGAGCAACGCAAAGAAAAGCGTGACGGACAGTCTTTCCAGCCCGGCAATTCAGACAACAATGGCTTCCTACCCAAGAAAGGCCCGACAATCATTGGGCCAGGCGCAGATCCCGATGTTGCCCCCCAGCCGTTTGCCCTCTCAACATGCGACACACAAATCACCCCAGATTGCCTACGCGCACTTTACAATTTTACCAATGGGACCCTTGCCAAGTCGTCCTACGGCATTGTCGAGTACACACCTCAGGCATATCTGCAGTCAGACCTCAACCTTTTCTATAGCAATCTGGCGCGACAGATTCCCTCTGGCACTGCTCCGACGCTCGATTCGATTGATGGCGGAGTTGACCAGACTAGTACCCAGAGCTTTGACGATAATGGAGAGTCTGATCTTGACTTGCAGTATGCTATCGCCCTCGGTATGTCCAACACTATATAACTTTGGTTCCTTTTTCCCTCCACATACTGACCTCTCGCAGTGTATCCTCAGAAGGTGACATTGTATCAAACTGGCGACCTTGTCGAAGGCGCTTCGTTCAATAATTTCCTAGACGGAATCGATTCTTCCTACTGTACGTCTGGTGGTGGAGATAATCCAACATA